ACAGCCGTGACCCAGGTCGCTTCACGCAGCAGCTCAGAGCTCACCTCGGCGAAACCTGCCGCACGCCCAAGTAAGAGTGCGGCTGGGTCCGAGAGCTCGATGCTGTCGGCAGCCAGGGCAGCGCCCCGCGGGGCCACCAGTGAGGCGAGGGGCCCGCGAAAGCGCAGCTTCCCCGGCTGCCTGCCAGCGGCCTGCACTGCGCTCAAGGGCCAGTGCGCAGCGCAGACTCCCGCGCCCCACGGCGACGCGTCGAAGGCACCCGCCTCAGCGTGCCAGGGCCTCTTCATATCGGCGAACACCGTGGGCAACAGTGCGAGCACCCACCTGAGCTCGCGTCGGCAGCTGGGCCACAGCGGCTGCGCCCTGTCGTAGGTGGAGCGGATGAAGACGTAGACTGCACTGAGGAGGCTGAGCGCCTCACGGCGCAGCAACAGCAGCGCAACCGCGTGACCCGCGAGCCTCTCCAGCTGGCGCCCCGCGATACGTCTTCCCGGCTCCAGCAGGTGCGAGATACAACCATGCACTCTCCAAAACTTCTTGGGCGCGGGGCGCCACCTGGCGGCCTTCGCGTCCAGCGTGAAGCCGAGGAGGACGACATCCAGGTCAAGCGATGCCTTGACGCCCTCACTGGTGAACGAGTCGAGCATATCGTTGACCACCTGCAATGCCGTCTCGCGGCTGGTGCTAATGGCAGCAAAGTTGTCTATGTACAAGACCTTGGCTGCGGCTGAGCTGTCAGAGAGGCACGCCCCAGGCTGCTTGTCCACCAGCCACTGGTTGCTCGGAGAGACCGAAGCCAGCACATTCAGGTGGGCAGATTGCACAAAGTGGACGGCCCAGTTCCAACCCATGGGGACGACCCGCACGCGGAAGGCTATCCTGGGCCGAGCAGACAGCTCTGGCCCCAACGCCTCGCGCAGGCGGGCCGGCAGCATGCGGGTCGCCAGGCTCGGTAAGCAGAAGTAGTTTCTGGCCCAGGCCGGCAGCACGTACTGGTAGAAGCAGACCTCCACGTCGCCCGCAGCCAGGTGCACCTCCTCACCGGGCGTGCACTCCAAGCTGCTGAGGGCGTCGCCGGAGGCCAAGTGCGTGTACTCGGGCGTCCTGAAGTGGCAGTTCGCCCTCCTAGTGTCGAAGATGAGCCTCAGCTTGTCATCCTTGCGTGGCACGAAGAAGACGCCCGTCTCCTCCTTCAGTTCCAGCTCGTAGTCCAAAACTTCGACGATCCCCGCATCGTAGAGCTCGAGCAGGAACCGCCCGTAGTCAATGCCCCGCTGCGCCAGCTTACCGTCCACGTAACACGTGACGTCCGCCTCCTCCAGAGCAGCAGTAGCCTCCTGCTCCGAGCGCAATGACCCGTGCCCGGACTCCAGCGCCGACTGCAGGTGCGCGGGCAACAGCCGAACAAGATCGACACGCCCAGCACCGCCAGAAGGAAGAGAGACCCTCCCGCGCTGGTAGCCGGCTCTCGCCCCGATCGCTGGCTCGTCAGCATAGCCAGGTCGAAGCCCCAGAAGCGCCTGAAACGCCTCCTGGTTGGTGCAATCTTCAGTCCTCGGCGGGACCGCGGCGTAGACCCCCTTCAGATGCTGTAGCGCGGAGCGCTGCGCCAAGCTGAGGTGGCCGCTGCCGCCCGCCGACCGCCCACCACCACCCAGCTCGTTGAGCGCCAAGACTCCTTCCAGCATCCAGCGCTCCTGGCGCCTGCAGCGAGCGGCTTTGCGCCGCTGCCCCAGCGAGAGCTCGCCGTCAAGGGCAGAGAACCCCTTCAAGCACTGGAGCGCCTCCGAGTTGAGCGGGATAGGCAGCGCGTCTCTCTGCGTGAGACCGTCATCGCCAAAACCCAGCGAGGGGGCATCGCCGTTCAGCACGCCTCGCCTCCCCTGCAAACTCGCGCCGAGGTCGGGGGACCCCTCGGCGCGAGGGGACGCCTCAGGCGCCACGGCCGCACCCGCGGCCGTATGCCTTGGCCTTGGCACCCGCCGCTGGTTCGCCAGAGGCCGCACCGCGCTCGGCGCCGCGCTCCAGCAGCCTTTCCTCTCGCCCCTTCTTGCGCTCCTTGAGGATGGCGCATCCCTCTCGGAGCATCGTCGCCACCCAGCTCTCCCCGGCGGCGCAGACAAGACAAGCGCCGAGCCGCGGCTCCTGCCCTGCCCGAGGAAATTGGGTCGCCCATCGAGCCAGGGCGCAGCGTCCTGACCAGCCTCACCCTCGCGCCAGCTCGACGCATACGGCTCCTCCCAGAGCTGGTCGCGGCGGCAGCGGGTCTCCACCACCACCAGCTCGCAAGCGTCGAGCCGGTCCTCGGTGGTGAGCTCCTGCAGCACCTCCAACGTGAAGTGGTGGTCGTCCATGCCCGAGTCCAATGCTGTGAGCCCCTGGATTGACCTCGACCAGCACTGCCTCTGCCGCGGCATGTAGTCCGCCTCCAAGATCTTCTCGAGCAGCACGGCCGCGGTCCTCGGCCCCTTGCAGCGCCCGTTCGCGACGGGCGTGGTGGACATCTTGGCCAGAGCGTCATGGAGCAACCTGGAGCGGCCGCCCGATGGCAAGTAGAGCACTGGCAACGCGGGAAGGCCCCCACCGCTGCCGGACAGCGCGGCCGCCCCTGCCTCCAGGATGTTGGCCACGGCGACCGCGAGCGAGAGGCCCGAACCCCGCAGCATGTACCCGCGACCGCCAAGCACGACCTGCGGCTGGCCACCAGCTCCAAGGGGCTCGGGCGAGATACGAGTCCCCGCCGTGGAGCCCCCCCGCGTCCCTGTTGCAAGCCAGACCGCGTCCGCCGGTGGCGCCGCGAGCCGCGGCGGTGCTGGGGCAAGGAGAGGGCCTGCCGCCGGAGGCCCAGGCGACGCGGCCGGCGCGGCCGCCAGGGCGCCAGCCCCAACCGCGGCTCCAGCCGCTGGCCCAGCGGGCCACGCGGCGGCCAGCAACGCCGCAGGGGACGGCGCCTCCGCAAGTGCCTCCGCCTCGCCGTCGGCGCACGCCCCTGTGTGTGCTGCTGGTGCAGGCGAGCCATCCTCCTCACGAATGTTCGCTGCCATCGGCGCCGCCTCGTTGCATAGCGATGGCAGCACATCGCTGAGCCGAGCGCTGCCCGCCCGCGGGATCTGCCCCTGCGGCCTCCGAACAGGAAGGCCACCCCGAGCTCCCAGCGGCAGCCGAAGGAGCGATTGGGACATGTTCTTATCATAGATGTCCCGAGGCGCGGTGAGCACCCCGAAGCGGAAGTCCTGAACACGTGCCAGCATGATCTTTTCATGCCAGAAGTCATCGCGCAGCTCGTAGTAATCGAGGGCCCTCGACCCCACTTGACGGCTCTGCAGGCAGTGCCGCGTGCGCTCTGCTAAGCTGCGGGCCGCCATCCAATCCTGACCTCAACGGGCGTGCGGTCCTCTTCCACACGGCGCCTGCTGTCGCTGCTGAGAGCACACCCGCGAGCAGCCCTACGACGAAAATGCCCCACGCGAACGGCGGCTCGGGGCACTGCAGCGGCGGACAGCTTGGGCACACAGGACAGGTGAGCTGCTCTGGTCCGCAGCGCTCCAGCTGTCGACCCAGGAGGCCCACGATATCGCTGCTGACCTGGCAATCGGCTATGCAATGGCAGTCGGGGCAGCGGGCGACTGAAAGAAGAGGGGCCCAAGGAGCGATAGCCTGCAATCCTCGCAGGGCCAAGTCCATTGAGCCAGAAAGACTATAGAGCAGGTATGAAACGGAACTGTGCGATGCAAACTCGTTCAACAACGTACATTTTTATGAATTACAAAAGTTACTCACGGATTCCCATGATCAACGTACCAGAGAAGGCGTTTTGGAAGGATTCTGGATTATGCGGGCGCAACAGTTATGTTGGATTCGCGGTGTTGAGGTCCCAAAAACGGCGTTCTCTCACGATTCCGGATCGTCAAGACGCAGCAGTCATGGTGATACGTGGCGCTGAAATCCCGAGAACTATGTTTTGGCACGCTTAAGGATATTCAAACGGTTTTCCAAAGAAACAGTTCCCTCAATGGAAATGAACCGTTGTAGGGGCCTACGAAGAGGGAGCTTGGAAAGACGGTAAATTCCAACATCGTTGATGACTCTTGGGTTTACACTGGTCCTCCTCCTCCTCCTCCTCCTCCTCCTCCTCCTCCTCCTCCTCCTCTCTCGAGAGAGGTCACCCTCGAACCGGGAATCTCCTTCTCCTTCTCCTCCTTCTCCTCCTCCAGCTCCTCCTCCTCCTCCTCGAACCTGGACCCTCCAACCTCTTCCTCCTCCTCGTCCTCCTCCTCCTCCTCCTCATCATCACCATCATATTATTATTCTTCCTCCTCCTCCTGCTCCTCCTGTAAAACGAAACCGGGACCAGGACGAAATCGGGAATCCCTGTGATCTGGCGGTTCTGGAGGACATATCAGGCGTCGCGGCCGCTCCAGAAGATTGGGAACGCTCGTAGAGCGCTCCGGAACGCTCTGGAACATTTCATCGCGGTCCTAGCTGGGGAAGCCGAAAAATACAGATACCGCTACTCCCAGGACCTCACCCGGGGTGCGTCCTGACCAGAAATTCGAAGCGAATACAGCCGTGGCGACGAGGGCCTCCCAGGAGGAAGGCGAACGCGATTGAAGGGTGGCGGTATCGGTACCATTTCCTCCTCTGTCTAGCCCTGCCCGATCTTCCCCCCGCCCCAATCCCCGGACAGGGTCCCTCGCCCGCAGCATCGATTTGTCCTGGCCCTAGTCCCGCCCGATCTCCCCCCTCTCCCTCCCGCGATGGGGCCCCCCTCCTAGTCCCCCCGAGTAGTCACCCTCGAACCTCTTCCAGAGAGGTCCCCCTTGAATATCCTACTCGAACCTGGAGCCTCGATCCTCAAGCCTCCTCCTCCTCCTCCTCCTCCTCCTCCTCCTCCTCCTCCTCCTTCCCTCCTTCCCTCCTTGACCCTCCCGCCCCCTCCTCGAACCTCGCTCCTCGAAGCTCCTTCCCCCCCTCCACCCCCCTCGCGTGGGGCCCCTCGCCCGCAGCAGCGACAGGTTGAATTCTCGGAGGAAGCCGGCGTACCGCACGCCCGGCCCTGGATCCGTCGGCGGCGCGCCGCCCTGGGCCACTCGCTGCGACCTCGCGGCCCCGCCCAGCCGCCGCCGGCCACCCCTCTCGAGGGAGGATCGGCAGGCGAGGATCGAGATCGAGGAGAGGAAACGAGGAGGGTCGAGGGTCGAGGGGGCCGAGGACGAACGAGTGGAGGAGGATCTCCTCCTTCTCCTCCTCCTCCTCCTCCTCCTCCTCCGCCTCCTGGAGCATGTCTTCAACGGGTATGTGGTGCCCTTGTTCAAGTGGTTGCGGGTTTTCTTGGGTGCATGCTCCCATTGAGCCTCAGGGTTAGCAAAACAGTCCAACACAGTCGTCCTCCTCCTTCTCGACCCTCTCCGCCTCTTCTTCTTCTTCTTCTTCCTCCTCCTCCTCCTCCTCCTCCAACCTCCTCCTCCTCCTCCATCCTGCTTCCTTGTATGTAAGTTGCGCCTCCCTGTCGCACCCCTGAACGGGTCGGTAGGGCGGTCCGAGCGTATCGCATGAGACTTCCTCACCATTTACGACCCTGAAACGGGACAATTGCAACAATTTCAAAGATAGAGGGCGGGACGTTTTTTCAATACAGCTCTCGCCTTAGCGCCGCTTGCACTCACATTGATAACAGCTTCAAGGGTGGAAGGGAGTGGCCTTTGAATTGTGGCTATCCGCCTTAGAGCCGCACATCGTAAAGATGTGCAACGGCTACAAAGATGGAGGGCGGCTCCTTATCAAAATGTCGCTCTCGCCTCAGCGCCACGCACACGCGCTTTTTTTGTAAAGGCGACAGCTTCAGGGATGGAGGGGGCCGCTTTCAAAATCAAAATGTGGCTCTCGTCTCATCACCGCGAACATTCGTTTGACAAGTTTGCAGCTGTTTCAGGGATGCAGGGATACACAGGGTGGCAAGTTTCAAAATGCGGCTCTCGCCTCAACGCCACCCACATTCGTTTTACCATGCTACATTCGCTTGAGCAGTCGAGCCCGGAAATGGATGAGACGCCGCGCCAGCTGAATCGACACAGAGAAGGAGAAGTACGAGGAGGAGGAGGAAGAACAGAAAGAATACATATATGTGTATATATATATATACAAGACTGCATTGGCGCTTCGCGCCATGCACCTTGGTCCTTCAACCCTTGCGCGCGTCGGCGTCTAGCGCGGCCCTCCACGGTCTTTGAACCGCGGCCGGTTCGCGCCCAGTTCCCGGACCTGCACCTTACTTGCTCGCGCCCTCGCTCTGCTGGTCCGCGCGCCACTGGGACTCCATGAGAATGTCCCAGCGGACCGATCAGCGGCGATGAGAGCGGCCGTGGAGGCTCCGGAAAGACAAAACGTCGGACAGAAGGGGCGGGAAAGAAGCGGAGGACGATTTGGGGAGGCGCGGCGAAGGGAGGAATATCACGAGGTAAGGTAAGGTAAGGCACGCATTGCAGGAATTGCAAACCCGCGTAGTGCTGCGTGCTTTGAGGTGCCTCGCGTCGAAGTGGGTCCTGTCCCAGAGCTCTCCGCAGCGCGTGCAGGAGAAGAGGTCTTGCTTCGGACGGCCGTCAGTGGCGCACGCCTTGCACGTCCGAGTGGATCGGTGCAGCTGGCAAGGGCTGAAGTGAGTTCGATCGTGCATGTCCCCGCAACGAGTGCATTGATAGTCTTTGTGTTGGGGGGCTGACCGTGACTGTGTTTCCCGTCGACTGGCACACGACTTGCAAGCCCGATTGGACTGCTGAAGTTGTGTTGTGGAGAATGATTCTGCAGGCAGGGTCTCGCCACAATCGGAGCAAGCGAATACAGACATCGAGGATGTGCCGTATGCGACAGCTTAAAAATGTAAGCCAACGGCTACGGATGCATGTGTGCGAACACGTGTGGAAAACAATGTTTCCTTAATAACTTGGAAGGGCCCTCGTGAAACCTCCATGGAACGATTATTCTGGGATGCGATAGGGCATAGGGCAGCAAGCATGCAGGCAACGTACCGGATCCTGGAAATGCTAAGGACATCTACCGAATTCCGGGGAAATGTGCCGAATCCCGGGTTCGCAGCCGATTTCCCGGGAATTTGGTTGCGAACCCGGGATTTCAAGCATTTTGGTGTTTTGCGTGGGATGCCACTGTCTGGCAAACAACGGAGCAGCGCAGCGAAGCCGTTCCGGAGGTGGCGGTCAAGTGGGGCGATTGAGCAGTTTTGAAGCCTCTTGGGGGGCCGTTTTGGCTGCCTTTTGGAGAGCCATTTTGGGGCCTCGTGGGTTCTTTTTGGGAGTCCTCGGGGCCTTTGGAAGCCTCTTGGGGCCTCTTGGGGCCCTCCTGGGGCCTCCTGGGGCCCACTTGGGGCGGAAAGTTAGATGTTTGAACTTTTGATCGCCCTGTGGGGGCTCGTTTGAAGCTTTCTCGGGGCCCTCTTGGGCCTTCTTGGGCGCCTCTTGGGCTGTTTCGGGGCGCTCCAGAGCCGTCTTGGGGCCGTGTTGGGGCCGTTTTGGGGGCCGCCCGGGCCATCTTGGGGCGCTCTTGAGGGCCTCTAGTTCTGTCTTGGAGCGTCGGAAAGCTAAAATGGCGAGAAAGCAGAAAACATCGAAAAACACATTGGAAAATTGACCATTTCGGCCTCCCGGGGCCGTCTTGGGGGGCTTCTTTGGGGCCGCTTGGGGCGTCTTGGGGGCTCCTGAGGCTGTCTTGGGGCTATCTTTGGCGTCTTGGAGCGCTTTGTGCCTGTCTTGGAGCGCTCTTGAGGCACTCGGGACCGCTTCAATGGGCGTCCGGAGGGTCCCAAAGCCCCAGGATCCCTGGAGTCCGGTTTGGGGGGGGGGGGGGGTGCGGGGTTTTGCGGCCGCCCGGGCTTGTAAAAATATAGGAAGAGGAATAGAAACAACAACATAGGGTGAATGAGCGGGGCCAAATGGAGTGAAATGGCTCGACGTTGTGAGGTGGCCATGGGGTTCTGAAGACAGACGCCCACCCCTCGAAACGAGCGGTTGCACCCAAGAAGTCCCACCAACCTGGGCGCGGACGGGCCCACGGAACACCTCCCTCCGCCCGCAGCCCAAAGCCCGACGTCGTGACGCCTTTTCGCCACGTCGAGCCCTGGACCCCTCGACCCCCCTCCCCCCCCACTCTTCCCGGAGGCAGCGTTCCGTCCCAGAACAAGTTCTGGCGGCCCCAGGGCCCTGGAAAGGGCCCCCGCAGGCCGAACCCTGCCAAAAACGTTCCCGTCGTGATGTCTGGAGAGGGGAGGGGGAGAGGAGGGGGGAGGACCGAGGCTCGAGAGAGAGGCGGACGGGGGAGCGAGGATCAGGGACCGAGGAAGGGCGAGGAGGATCCGTGAGATCCGACGATGCGAAAACTCAAGCATCGTGACAAATCACGCCCAGAGCCCTAGACGACATCTTCCTGCTGCATTTTTCGAGCCGGATCGATCTGTGATGGCCCCGGGGCCCGAAACCGGCCAAAAAGGCCCGGGGTGAGAAAACATTGCAACACCCGGATCTCAGGGATTAAGGAGGGGCGAGGAGGAGAAACAGGGCCGAAAGCTTCCGAAGACCTTCCCGCCATGGTCCTCCACGATGCGAAGAGGCGGTCAGGCACGGGAGCGGCACCCGTCCCAGTGCCGCACGCCCCTGATCCGTGCTTTCGTTTCCTCGGCCCGACGCGAGCGCGGAGCGAAGCGAACGCCGGAGTTGCGCGCGCTCCGCTTGTGATCCCGCCCGGGCCCATCAGGCAGCGTGGAGGCCGTGGCCTCAGAAATGTGATGCGCGCGCGGACTCGCGCGATAACCAAGATTCTTCGGAAGCGCCGTCGATGCCGACCTCGTTTCTGTGAGTTCCTCTGCCTCAATCCTCGAGCCAAGCCTTCCCCCGAGCCTCCCCCCTGATCCCCCCCCCCGATCGAGGGGCGCTCCGCAGTCGCAGCTGATCTCAGCAGCGGGCGCCGTCTCAGGGATAACCCCGCGCCAACCAACACACGACTCGGGACAGGGGGGATCGAACGACGAGGCGACAGGGGAGAGGACACCTACAACCCTCTACGAAATTCAACGCAAGGTTGTATCCAACCCCGCTGCCCCGCCAGAAAAAGACTGCTTCAGGAACGTTGACGTAGGGATCCAGGGGCGACGCCACGGCGCGGGGAAAAAACAGGCAGCTGCTTTAGCAAAGCGCTGTATGGCAGCTAGGGCGGCCTACGGTTGGCGCTTCAGAAAGATAGCGTACAACATCGCAATCAGAAAAATATCACTATGAGGCGATCCCCCCGCGAGAGGCCCCTTTGCGCACGCTGTCCCCCAGACAGGCCTTCATGGGCGCACGCCATCCCAAAAATAAGGGGATGTCGTGCAACACTCGGGCAAGCGGCGCCACATCGCACGCTATCATTGAAACGCCAACCGTAACGCAAAGTCAGTCCGCATCGAATCGGGAAGCCGGATCGGATCGGATCGTCCGTCGGATCGGCCCGCATCGGCACGGAGTCGAAATCGGATCGGATCAGCCGCGCCCAAATCCCAAATACACAGCTGCGCTGCGCAAGCGTCGGGCCGCATCGGATCGCCAGGACATGGAAACCGAATCGAATCGACCAAGGTGAAGCGAACTCGGCATCGAGTCGGATCGAACGAAGCGACAGGCCCTGCCTCAGGTCGAGGGCCGAAGGGCGCCGGAGCAAAAGGCCGCGCCCGCCGCCGGCCTCGACGCCGCGGCCGCCGCGGCCGCGCCCAGCAAGAGCAGCGGCGCCGCCGCGGGCATCCGAGCGGCGGGCGCCACCAGAAGGCAAGGCGGGCGCCAACGGTCGCGGGTGTTCAAGCTGAGCGGGGGGCTGCGACGAGGACGAGACGGCGGATGCGGAGTCAGGGCGCGCGCGCGCGCGTGCACGCGCGCGGGAGGTTACGGGGGGGGGCGGGGATGGGGGTAAGGTTGATCAATCCGTGTGTTTGTGTATGTTTGTGTGTCTGGGTGTTTCTACCACATATTTCGTTTTTTATATCTTGCACAAGGTGTGTCTAGAGCTCCGACCACTTTATTCCGCGTCGCACCGCACTCCCCCCCTCCCCGCGTCTCTCCCGC